TGGGTGGTAAACTTCTTAACACTTCTGAAAAGATACCTTATTGTATTATTGTGTCTGATTGATAATAAATCCTTTTACTATTAGTAAGAAAGCTAAGATCTTAAAGGACTTGATCACTTAAGATATTCAGCAGACACCGAGAATCAACGCATATGAACTTGGGAGCATTCCTGGGCCACCTTGCTCCCTGCAGACTTGAGATTAACCATCCCACATAGAAAAAAGAAAAAAAAATTTTTTTTGAAGACTTGATTGAAAAGATTTTAATTATCCACATTACTAATGGACTTTGTTTTTCATTTGCAGAAGCTGAGTATTTATGGTGACTTGGAGTTTGTGAATGAACAAAAGCTAAACCGATACCCAGCCTCTTCTCTTGTGCTTATTAAATCTAAAACTGAAGATCATGAAGAAGCAGGGCCTCTGCCTACAAAAGTCAATCTTGCTCATTCAGAAATTTAAGCTTCTTTTTTTAAGAACAGCGTGATAGACATCTAAGTTTCCATTCCTCATAGAGCTTTTTGAAATGGTTCCATTGGATATAGGCCTTAAGAAATCAATATACAATGCAAATAAAGTTACCCAAATCCATGAAGACTGTATTTGCTGTAACTTTACCTGTATTTTTTTTCTAGTAATTTAAAAAATGGATGTTTGGGATTATATTTTTATTTTACTAATATCTGTAGCTACTTTAATTGTTATTGGCATTAGTATTTTTCCCTTTCCTCGTCAAATTCTATGAGCTGATCATTGTTCTTCCCTACCTCCTACCATGATACTGTCAATTTTACCTTACTCCATAAGCTGAATACTTAGTAGGATGTAGTGCTTCTGCTCAGAAATGGCCCCTGAGCCGTAACTTTAAATTTAGCAGGAAATGCCCTTTAATGACACTACATTTTCAGTTGTATTGAACTGAAATCATTAAAATTTTATTTGAATAATTATGTGCTGAAATCTGAGTATCTGATTTTTCTGGTCTTTCTTCCTACCCTTACCCAACTCAGAAAACATTTAAAATGGTCTGTGTTTATTGCTGTTTAATACAATAAATATAGGGGTACATGCTGAAGCAAAAATGAGCCTCTTGACAATACATACTATGTTATTTTGCACAAGTTATAAGTTTTTGTTGAATGAATCCTTCCAAAGGACTGTTTTTCCTCTATTAGATAGCATCAGATTCAAGGTAAAGATATTTTCAGAGAAAACTCTTCATTCTGATGGTAAGAGACTTCTTTGATTTAGAATTACATATAGATTTCACTTGGCAAAAACTGTTAACTACCACTCCTTTACCTGTGCAGATTTAAACATAAAAATGATTCCACAGAACACCAGAATCTTGCTGTGACTCAGTGTCATTATGCTGTGAACCAACTCTCCGACGGTCCTGTGTCCCACTTTCCTTTCTTGTTTCTTTTTCTTTTTTTTTTTTTTTTTGGACAGGCAGAGTCAGAAAGGTCTTCCTTCTGTTGGTTCACTCCCCAAATGGCCACTACAGCCGGCGCTGTGCCGATCCGAAGCCAGGAGCCAGGTGCTTCCTCCCGGTCTCCCATGTGGCTGCAGGGCCCAAGGACCTAGGCCATCCTCCACTGCCTTCCTGGGCCATAGCAGAGAGCTGGACTGGAAGAGGAGCAACTGGGACTAGTACCTGGCTCCCCAACAGGGACTAGAACCTGGGATGCCGGTGCCACGGGTGGAGGATTAGCCTAGTGAACTGCGGCGTCGGCCGTCTCGTTTCTTTTTGCTTCCCGTGTAAAATGTGCCTGAGACAGATACCTTCATTCCTTTTCAAAGTATTGATCCATTTTCACCAAATTATTTCCCTTGTTTGTAAGACAGTTCCTTACAATTGGAAACACCCAGTAGCAGACACTCTTATATCTGTCTCCTCCCTTTTAGTTTAGCATCACTAAACCAGACTGACAGTTTCTTTTCTTTTCTTTTCTTTTCTTTTTTTTTTTTTTTGACGGGCAGAGTTAGAGACAGAGAGAAAGGTCTTCCTTCCGTTGGTTCACTCCCCAAATGGCTGCTAAAGCTGGCACGTTGCACTGATCCAAAGCCAGGAGCCAGGTGCTTCCTCCTGCTCTCCCTTGGGGGTGCAGGGCACAAGCACTTGGGCCATCCTCTACTGCCCTCCCGGGCCACAGCAGAGAGCTGGACTGGAAGAGGAGCAACCGGGACTAGAACCTGGGGTGCTGGCATCATAGGCAGAGGATTAGCCTAGTGAGCCTCGGTGCCAGCCAAGACTGACATTTTCAAAAAGACAAATTTCACTTTTTTTTTTTCAAAGATTCATTTATTTATTCAAAGAATTAGATCATTCCCCTAATGGCCACAGTGGCCAGGGCTGGGTGAAGTCAGAGCTAAGAGCTTCATTCGGGTCTCCCACATGGGTGCAGGGGCCCAAGTACTTGGGCCATCTTGCATTACTTTCCCAGACACATTAGCAGGGAGCTGGATTAGAAGTGGAGCAGCTGGGACTCAAACCTGTGCCCATATGGGATGCGGGCACTGTAGGTGGCAGCTTAATCTGCTACACCACAGCACTAGCCCCTGGGTTTCACTTTCCAAAAAACGAAAAAGAAAATTAACCCCCATAAGTATGCAACATAAAAATGTTTCTGATCTTGAAAATTCAATCAAAACAATAAAACAGCCTCCAGGCCACTCCTTAAAGTAGCAGTTGTGACTTGGGTGGGCCCAAATTATTGGCTCCTTGCTTCCACCAGGAAGAGACATCTGGAGAGTCTTCACTAGGCCAGTTCTCAACACCACAGGCCTCTGGTTCACACCTACCCCACTCCTGGAGTCCTTGCTTCAGGGTCCCTCAGCTGAGAGACACGCATGCAGACAATTAGAAAATAGTCATTACCACGATGAATGATCCTAGGCCTGGGTTCCAAATCTTTTAACAAAACTGTGTGGCACCTTTTATCTGATAAATTTTTTGGTAAATCAGAAGTTACTGGGGCTGGCACTGTGGCACAGTAGGTTAAAGCCTCAGCCTGCAGTGCCAGCCTCCCATATAGGTGCTGATTCTAGTCCCAGCTGCTCCTCTTCTGATCCAGCTCTCTGCTATGGCCTGGGAAGGAAGTAGAGGATGGCCCAAGTCCTTAGGTCCCTGCACCCGCGTGGGAGACCCGAAAGAAGCTCCTGGCTTCAGCTCTGGCCATTGCAGCCATTTGGGGAGCGAACCAGTGGATGGAAGACCTCTCTCTGTAACTCTTTCAAATTAAAAAAAAAAAAAAAAAAGTTACCAGATTATCTGGTTTCAGTGTTGTCTCAGAAACAAGTGATGCATCAGTCTGCTATTGATCACATAAACATAAAACCTTGTTACTCTGAGTCATATTCAAGCCAAAAAGAAACAATCCACCATTTGTTATTTGCCTTCAACTTAGATAAATGAGTCATTTCTATGAAGATTTTTTTAATCCATAAATAGCTCCTTTGTAATTTTTGTGGACCGTTAAGTATCAAGACCACATATTGTGGGGCTGGCACTGTGCCTTAGTGGATTAAGACTCCACCTATGCTGCTGGCATCCCATATGGGCCAGGGTTCAAGACCTGGCTGCTCCACTTCCGTTCCAGCTCCTTGCTAATGGCCTGGGAAAAGCAGCAGAGGGTGGCCCAAATGCTTGGGCCCCTGCACCCACATGGGGGACGGATAGAGCTGGCTCCTGGCTTCAGCCTGGCCATTGCTGCCATTTGGGGAGTGAACTAGCAGATGGAAGACCGCTCTCTGTAACTCTCAAATGAATAAATACATCTTTAAAAAAAAAAAAAAAAAGACCATATATTGGGAATCATGGATCTCGAGGTTTCTAGTTATTTGCACCACCACACGAAGGCCATTTCTGCCTGGAGACCCTAGTTTACCTGTTCAACAACCACTTGCCAACCCTGAGGGAAAGTAGGCTCCAATTGCTCAGAGTCCAATGAGAGGGACAACTACTGTGGTAAGTGCTATGGAAAGATGGGCACATAGGAGGAGCCTAAACTTCTGAAAGGAACAGCCAGGCTTAAACCTGGAGGCGGAGGCAAGCGGGGTGTAGGGAGCAGCGTTGGGGCAGTGGAGATGGGATGCATAAAGACTGAGGCCAGCGAGTCCAGGACTGCGCATGGTTCAGTTAGCTGAGCTACAGCCTACAAAAGCACCGTAATAGATGGGGCGAGACGCGTCAGGTAATAATGGGCTTTACTAGACCTGCGCTGGATTCTGAGCCCAGCAGAGAGGTGTTGGAAGGTTTTAAGCATGCTTCCGCCCCAGTGAAATCCACTTGCCCTCAAGTCCTGTCCTAGGGTCTGACTCCTGGGAGCCCTAAGTTGAAACGCACCCTTCGTCTAGTCTGTCTCCTAGGGAGTGGAAGCAGGAACTGAGGCCCGGGAAGGGGGGTTGCTTGCCCACGTGAGAGCCGGCTGCAGGGCCTGACCAAACCCCGTTTTCCTGGTGCGGGGCTCAGCTGTTTCTCTGTAGCTCCCCGCTTCCTGAGGGCTGCCCCTATGTCTGCCCTCCTCACCCTTGTTCCCAGGGAGTGGGCGTTTTATTTCCCAGTGCAAAAGAAACGGCTGGCCATAGGTGAACAATCTAGGGGCATCAGAGGCAGGCTTCCAGGGGACCCCAGCCTAGAACCCCTGGGCTGGTTTCTGGAGGAAGACACCTCCCCTTCTCCCTTGGTCTGGGCTCTGGTCCAGAGTGAAACGCTTCTGGGACGATGGTCTTCCTAGCAGGGAGCTAGGCTGCTGGGGAGACTGCAAGTGGGTAGACAGATGGGTCGCTGGGGGGAGGCTGGTGCTGTGGTGCAGCAGGTTAGGCCACCGCCTGCAATGCCGGCATCCCATTGCAGCACCAACAGCAGTTCCCAGTCCTGGCTGCTCCATTTCCAGTCCAGCTCCCTGCTGATGCACCTGGGAAAACAGCAGAAGATGGCCCAAGTATTTGGGCCCCTGCACTCACTTGGGAGACCTGGAAAAAGCTCCTGGCTTTGTCCTGGCCCACCCAGCCATGGTGGCTATTTGGGGAGTGAACTGGCAGAGGGAAAAGCTCTCTCACTCTCTCTCTCTTTCTCTCTTTCTCTGTCACTCTGCCTTTCAAATAAACAAAATAAATCTTTAGTAAGGGATCACTAGAGCCAACAACCTGCCCCTGCCTCATCCCCACCCCCAGCACTGTCTCAGAGAAAACTAGAATGCACTTGCCATATTTTAATTTTATTTATTTATTTGAGAGGCAAAGAGACACATAGAGACATACAGGAGAGATCTCCCATTTGCTGATTCATTCCCCAAATGCCTATGACAGCTGAAACTGGACTGAGTTGAAACCAAGAGCCAGGAACTCCATCCCAGTCTCCCACGTGGGTGGCAGGACCTAAGCACTTGAGCCACCTCCACCTGCTGCCTCCCAAGGTGGGCACTAGTGGGAAGCTGGAAGGGAGTGGAGCTAGGACTCAAGACCAGGTACTCTGAGACGGAACGCAGGTGTCCTAACCACTAGGCCAACGCCCGCCCCGCCACGTTTCGTGTGCTTGTTTTGTTTTAGCAGTTTTAAGTGAAAGTTGTCTCTAAGATTACTTTATTCCGCCATCTTCCTGAGTGCTGCTTCCTCACATTTGCCCTTCCCCTGTCAGACTTGGTGAGACCTGGCTTTGCGTTCCAGGATCCTTTTACGTGCTGTGCAAAGAGCGTGCTTTCAAGCTGAGAGGCCGCCCTCTGCCAGCACCATCCCGGTGATTCCGCCAGGGCCACCTCTGCCACCTGTCCAGGTAAGAACAAAAGAGGCTGCCTCCCGGTGGCCCTGTGCCGCAGGGCAGGGGAGGGGTGGCTTCCTCCTGGGCCGGGTTCCTGAGAGGCTGCACCTGGGGACCTGTTTGACATCCAGCGCTGGGCTCTGACCACTCCTGAAGACACTGTGCTCCCTGGGACCTGTGACACTCAGAGGTCGGAGGGGGATAGAAAGGAAAAAAAAGGATCTTTTTTGTGGTGTTTGTCCAGTTTCAAGCCAGCAGGAACCACCCTGTTGGATGACTGCCACAAGGACAGGTGTGCCTGTGGCCTCTTCCGCCGCACCTGTTCAGTGTGGATGGCAGATTTTTTCCAGTAGCCCCGGGCCATGCTGCCCATCTGCCGGCCCTCACGGTGTCCTCGCACCTCTCGCACTGCGCCTCCTTTCACACGGGCATGGAGCACACCTTGAACTTCTGTCTCAGCTCTCCCGGACGGGGGAGACTCGGCCTTCCTGCATTGCAATGCCTCCTTCAGCCACAGAAGGGTTGAGCTTCATCTCAGCCACAAATGGGAAAAGCCCCTGCCACATTTTTAAAGAAAACAATGAAAAATTACAGTTGCTTTATAATTTAGTGGGAAATGCATATTCTTTTTAAAAGATTTATTTATTTACTTGAAAAGCAGAGTATGTGTGTGTGAGAGAGAGACTGTCCATCCGCTGGTTCACTCCCCAAATGTCCCCCACAGCCAGAGCTGTGGTGATCCGAAGCCAGGAGCCAGGAGCCTCCTCCGGGTCTCCCATGTGGGTACAGGAGCCCTAGGACTTGGGCCATCCTCTGCTGCTTTCCCAGGCCATAGCAGAGAGATGGACTGGAAGTGGAGCAGCCAGGACTCAAACCGGTGCCCATGCGGGATGCCACAGGCGACAGCTTTACCTACTATGCCAAAGCACCAGCCCTGAATTCTCTATTTAATTAAATGACCCTTCTTACTGGCCACTGACACAGTGACCTGTGCCATGACTGGCTGCCTCTTCACACGCTGAGGGCTGCCGGCTCCCAGTCTCACCGCAGGCCCTGCAAAATCGCTGGGCTTAAGTCTCACCCCTCCCACCTGCTGTGTCTCCCTCTCCGAATCTCGGCTCTGCTTGCGGTCTGTAAGAGGGGAATGAGGATTGCAGCCTTGGCGTGTTGCTCTTGGACTGCAGAGTGGGGAGAGGCCTGGCGCATCAGGACCCTGCTCTCCTTTCCTCTGCCTGGGAGGGCGTGGCCAGGGCGAGGCCCCTCCTCCAGGCTGCCCTGGTGACAAGGGAGGGAACCTGCCCTGTATCCCTGGAGACTGGACGCTGAGAGCTGGAAACATGAACAAGGTCTTCCCCCAGGTAAGTGCGGCCCTGCGTAGCTCCTGATGCAGGAAGCAAACTCAGGTGAGGGCAGGAAAGGGGCCAGGTTAAGACTGCACCTGCCCCAGCCACTGAGGTGAGTCAGCTCCCACCCTGCCCCAGGGGCTCACTCCCAGGTATCAGGCCCCACACGTGACACAGCTGGACAGTTCAATGATGAACTGGGAGGAAGCTGGGGTGCAGGTGCACAGGGGCCAGGGGAGTGGATGATGTTAGGAGATCAGGGAAAGCCTCGCTGGGGAGCTGCCTGGGCAGGTTTGAGGGGCGGATTGTGGCAGGCAGGCAGTGGAAGAAATGGCGCTCCCAGCATGGGGCACGGGGGACAGGTGTGTAACTGTGACACAGTCAGGGTGACTTAGGGCGATTAGCACCCCGCGTTGGGAGGGTCCAGTGATTCCATCTGAAGCTGTCCGTGACCCCTGAGGCTGCTGACTCCCTTACCCAAGTACACCCCCTGCTCTGTTCTCTTGGCAGGGAGATGGCACTGGCAACGCTGCTGCTAGGACCAAAACACTCTCCAGAGGGGAAGGTAAAAGGCGGGCACTCCCCACGCCCAGGGGGGCTGCCTGAAGCTGGGCTGGGGGCTCTGCGGGAGCCCAGACCTCTGCCTCCCACTGTGGTGTCCTCTGCTCCCGGCGTCCCGGCCAGCCAGGTCCACAGTCACTTACTGAGCACCTACTAGCGCCGCCTATCGCTCAGGTGCTGACAGTGCACGCAGTACCCACCGGTAGCAGCAGTGGGTGACCTGGGCAGTTCTCTTTACCTCTGAGGGACGATGTGAGTCAGGATCACACGCTTCTTTAGCGCCTGCTAACACGGCAGACTCACTGTGTGGCTAGGACAGCACTCCGTACCTTCACTGATGGGGTGTCTCCCATGTGTTCCGTCTCGGCCCACGTTGCAGCAAGGGGAAAGAGCCCCGGAGAGATGACGCTGCCAGCCGCAAAGGATCAAGCCCCTACTGTGTACCTGGCACCACAGGGTCTTTTTCAACCCTCAGGGCCCCTCTGAGAGGGGGGCCCTGTTGTGGGCAGGAACAGCTGAAGCCATGAAGTTAGGCAACCAGGCCAAGGTCATAACGCTGGGAGGGAGCTTTGGGGGCCGGAGGGTGCAGGTCTCGAATTCCGAGGTAGGGCAGCACGGCCCTTCTGGTGGTAGCGCCCCAGTGCCCTTGTTGCTTCAGGCTGGTGTTTGTGGATTTCCAGGTGCGGGCTCGTGGTGGGGGTGGGTGTGGAGCAGAGGCCCTCCCCTCTAGCTCCAGCTCCAGCTCCAGGGAGAGGCTTGGCCACCGAGGGCGTCCAGCTCAGCAGTGCAATGTCTCGAGTCTCTCTTGTGACCACACCTTGCACACGGCTGGCCAGGCCACACAAGTATTGGAGGAGCGGCCTCTGCTGGCCCAGTGACACGTCGTCTCCCTGGTTACCTGAGTGAACCTGTGTTTGCCAACAGACCCGGGAGCCGCTGACCCGGGCTGCGGGAATCATCTGTTTTACTAACTTATCTTTAAAGATCTATGTATTCATTTGAAAGGCACAGAGAGACAGAGACAGAGAGGGAGATCTTCCCTGTAAATGGCCAGGGCTGGGCCAGACCAAAGCCCGGAGCGGGAACTCCATCCCGGTCTCCCACGTGGTGGCAGAGACCCAAGCAGTTGAGTCAGTATCCACTGCTTTCCCAGGCAGGGAGCTGGATCCGAAGCCAGGCAGCCGGGGCGTGACCGGGAGCACACAGGGGATGCAGCCTCGCGGACACAGCTTAGCCTGCTGTGCCAGATGCTCCGACTGAGATTCGTCTGCATCGCCCACTGTCTCCTCTCCCCGTGCACACCCATCCTGGGCTCCACCCACGCCAGGCCACTTCCTGTTCCCCGTCCCCCAATCCTGGCTGCATGCCACCCAACAGGCCGTTCCTCCTTCCACACCCTCACTGTGCCCTCCCCAACCTGCCCAGCCCCCCTACCCCGGCACCTGGCCCATGCTTCTTCGCTGCGCTGACACCTGGCGCTTGGGGCTGGCAGCACGTGGGCACGGGTCCACCTGGAGGCAGCTCCGGGGAACTAGGAGGGGTTTGAATGAAAATGACCCACGCGGATGCAAACTGGGGGCCTGCCCTTGTCTCCCTGACCTCTGGGGCAGCCTGTGCACTAAGCACTTACAAAGCACCTACTGTGTGCCCGCCTCTGGCCTGGACTCTGCTGTCACAGGCATCGGTGAGACCTGCTCCTGCCCCTTTGTCCGCGGGCCTGAGACCCGGACAGGACGTAGCTCACGCTCTCCCTCATCTGTGCCCGCCCCTTGCTCCTAAGGGCAAGGGCCACAGTGACAGCTACTTCTGTGCTCTCTGCAGAGAAGGGCGCCCAGTGGGTCCCCAGGGAAGCTTTCTTTCCTTGTTTTGCAAGCAAGGGAGAATTCAAGGAGCAAAGTACAGGCCTGCAAGAGCAGAGGCGGCCGCAGTCACTGCTGTTCCCCCGTGGTTAGAATGGAGCTCGGCACACGGCAGGTGCGCCTGGGCCACAGCTCCGTGCAGACCCCCTCCCACACCACGGACTCTCGGCAAATGCCGGGGTAGCTCCTGTGAGCCCCACTTCCCACCTGAGGAAACTGAGGCACACGGAAGTGAAGGGACTCCCCGCAGCCCCGCTGGAAGGCAGCCGGCAGCCTGGCGGGCTCCCAAGTGGACAAGCAGCCAGACGCGTGGAGAGGGCATGGGTTGTGGCTTCAGACAGGGACTCGCATGCCAGCCCCGCAGGCAGTGATGTGGACATCCCCGCCGAGCTGCAGGTTCTTCATCAGTAACTTGAAGGACTTGGGGTTTCTGCCCTGTGGTAGGGGTTGGAGCCACATGTGCCTGCCCCTGCCTGTGTCCTGAGGAGGTGGATGGGAGGCTGGGGCGTGGAGCAGAGGCCCAGGCCACGGCCAGGCACCTGGCGAGGGGTGGCTCCGGACAGTGGCACAGAGCGGTGCAAAGGTGTCCCTGCCCCAGCCCATGCGAGGGGGAGGGGCGGCCGACAGGGGTCAGGTGCGGGGCTGGGGGACCCCAGGACCCCAGCCCTGGTGCCCATGCCTGTGTCTCCCTCACAGCAGACTGCAGCCCCCTCTGCTGCTCGCGCCGGGGAGCCTGCCTCTCGGCCTCTCTGCTGCTCCTGCTGGCCACTCTCGCCGCCCTCGTCGCGCTGGCCATCATCCTTGGACTCCCGCCACGCACGCCAGGTCTGGGGTCGGCGGCGGGAGGCAGGGGGGGGGGGTCAGCAGGGGAGAGCCAAGGGGCCACAGGTGCAGGAGTCCTGAGCCCGCCAGACTTCTCCACGAAGTGACTTTGGACAGACTCCTGTACACCCACAAACACACGGGGGCGCTATAGAAAGTTCGCGGAAAGTGTGCATGATGAAAAAACCATGCATGGAGCTCAAAAAATATTTGCACCAAAATAAATGTATCTTTTACTTTTCCGCGAGTATTCTGAGGTCCCCTTGTGTGTGACTCTGAGCCTCCATTTGCATACCTGTGATGCGAGTTTATCGAGAGGCTCTGCCCTGGAGTCCTCCTTCAGGAAGCCTTCCTTGAGCCCCAGGTTGGGTTAGGAGCCTTGTCTTCCCACACTTGCTCTCACCTTGCCCCAGTCCCCCTGGGAGGTCTCATCCACCTATGCACCTGTCTCCACCCCAGAGATCAGGGCCGTGTCCAGTACATTCCAGCAACCTGGCCCCAGTGGCTACCAGCCATGACGTCCCTCTGAGTAGCACACTCAGACCAGGCTAGCGGGAGGGCTGAGTCTGGAGCAGCGGCTCTGGTCCAGTCTCAGAGGCAGGATGGCCCTTGGAGAAGCCACAGGGCACTGAGCATGAGGGGAAAGAGGGGAGTGGTTGGTGGAGGGAGTGTCAGGACAAGTCACTCAGGCACAGGGAACAGCATGTGAGCAGTTCCTGGGGATGGAGGAGGCGTGAGGACCAGCAGGGAAGGCGTGTGGACACCAGTGGCTGGGGCAGTGGGTGAGCTGGGAGCCCGGGGCCTCCAAGGCTGCCCCGGGGAGGGAGTTGTGGTCCAGGAGCCATGGAAGGGCGTAAGCTGGGGGCTAGGGTCACCTTCTCCTCTCTGAGTGATCATTTCATAGCCAGGCAGGGCAGGTGGAAGAGGCCCCAAGGCTGCCCCGGGGAGGGAGTTGTGGTCCAGGAGCCATGGAAGGGCGTAAGCTGGGGGCTAGGGTCACCTTCTCCTCTCTGAGTGATCATTTCATAGCCAGGCAGGGCAGGTGGAAGGGAAGGAGGTGGGGGAGGAGGTACCATTCACAGTCTGTCCCAGCCTGGGCGGGGTATGTGTGGGCTGCAGTCACACACCCACGTGCCTGTGTTTGCGTGTGTGTCTGTGCGACGATGCACATCTACATGCATGTGCCAGCGTTTGCAGGGGTCTGTGAGTGCACATACCTGACTGTGTGGGAGTATTTGTATGCACATCTGTGTGTGTGTGACAACACCAGTACCCCTGAGAGCCAGCTCCCTCCAGCAACCCAGGCTGGTCTGAGGACCAAGACAGGGTTAACGTGCGCAGGACACAAAGATGCTCTCACCCCCACTCAGTACCTGTGTGCACATGTGGTCTGGGGGGGCCCGCCCGCCCAGCTCATCCACCATTTCTCTCCTTTAACTCCTTGACACAGCCTAGGGGAGGGTCTCCTATTCCCCTACGGTGGCTGATGAGACTTTTCAGGGGAGTTTGGGGCCCAGTGGAACGAACACGGATCAGTGCTGTTCAGGCAGTAAAATTGGGCGCAGAGGGAAGGGGCGCTGACTGCACTTGAACTGGCACCGGCAGGTGCACCGCAAGGGCCGCTTCAAGGAACGCAGCGTGGCCCCGGCAGGCGGCTGCGAGGTGTGGCTGGGTTTCAGCAAGGAGAGGTACTCCTGGCTCTGTACCCATCCATTTGCTCCCCACCGCAGTTAGGTGGGGAGGCGCTATGGTCCCCACTGGCCGGCAAAGCAACAGAGGCTCTGAGAGCTCAGGTCACCTGCCCGAGGCCAAGCAGCGGGAAGGGGACTAAGCTGGGGCTCAAACCCCACCTGCACCGCTCAGTCCAGGGTCCTGGGTTTGCCCCCTGCCCAGCCCCTGCCCCAGCTCAGCTAGGGGGTGCTCCAAGGAGGGAACCTGGTCAAGTCTGACGTCTGCCTAGCCGGGTGACGCCCTTGTGAGCACCCTCTTTGATCCCCTGCCATTCAGGGGCCCAGGCCTGTGTGACACGGACAAATAGGACGGGCTTCCTGTGCCACGACCGGAGGAGCTGCATCCCGGCCAGCGGGGTCTGTGATGGCATCCGCACCTGTACCCACGGCGAGGACGAGGACGAGGCCTTGTGCCGTGAGTATCTGCCTGCTCCTGCCCCAGCCCCAGCCCCAGCCTCAGGGGTCACCTGCCCCCGACCCTCCCTGCAGCCACCCCAAAGCTCCGCTGACCCTGAACATACCTCACACCCTCGTGTCCACGTGTCTCGGATGATGGGTCGCCCCCAGCCAGGAACACCTGCCCCCACCCTTTCCCAGCCATGCACACACATGAGTCACCTCCACTCTCGGAGAACCTGTACTCATCCTTGAGGCAGTGCTCAAGCGTTACCTCCTCCAGGAAGCCTTCCCTGACTCCCACACCAGGTTAAGTTCCTTCCATTGGGCTCCCACAGCCCCTGAGCCTTCCTGTGTCTCAGCCCTAGTGACAATAGTTGTCACCCTCGATTGGCACCTCTGCCACCCCTGTCAGGCTGTGAACCCCCCCCAACCCCGGGGCAGTCCTGGTCTGCTTGATGGTGGGGCTGCAGGGCCCGGGACAGAGGGCAATCAGGGTTGCTGAATGGATGAGGGGGTGAGTGACTAGAAAGGCCTGGGCCCACACCTGAGAGAGCTGACAGTTCCCACGGAGAGGAGGCGTGCCTCCTGGAGCAGGCATGGAACCTGCGGGTCAATGGCAGGACCCACAAGAGGGAGGGGGTCGGGGATGTTGGGACCGGGGTAGGTGGTTCGGCACAGACCCTCCAGTGCAGAAGCGATCCTCAGAGTCACCCAGTCAGCTCCATCGGGCCCGACGGTGGCCGCCCAGCCTCGGCTTGCATACTCCTGGGAAGGGGAGCTCACCACACGTGGAGCAGCCACTCCCAGCATGAGGTCTTCCTCGCCCAGAGCTCAGAATGGCCGGTTGTCTCTGGCTCCAACTCTGCCCTCCATCAGCCCCGCCTGCCCGGGGCGAGCCGTGTTTTAACCCCTCTCCCATGATCATCGGCTGCAGGGCAGAGATTTGGAGATAGCGCTCTTGCTCCCCAGCCCACACCCTGGCCCCCACTCCTCCGTGCCCTGTTCCTCATCCTCTCCAAACACGTCCCCAGTTATTCAGCACAGGCCCCAGGCGCACCCAGGCCGTCTCTGGCAGGGTCTGGCCACCCAAAGAGCACGGGCTCGTCCCCTCCCCGGTCTGGGCTCCTGTGCCTGTAGTGATGGGGCCGCAGTGCGTGTGAACGTTCTGGAGGCCTGTCTCACAGCTGCCTGCCGTGGAGCTGACGTCCAGGCAAGGGGCAAGCCCACATTCCCGAGCGCTGGGGCACAGGTGTGTGGTCTCACACGGACACTGTCGCATTCCCATTGGAGGCGCTTCCTGGAGGGGACTTGAAGGTGGAATGACTCCAGAGAAGGGTGAGGGAGGAGTGATGCCAGCAGCGGCATGGGGGTGTGGGGCCGGGGGCAGTGGCTCCCAGGGCTCCTCGCTGGGGGTGCTGGAGAGAGCGTGCCTCCCTTCCACTGCACCCCCTCCCCCTCCCCAAGCCCCTTCTGCAAGAGGTGGGAGATGCCCCTGAGTGCGGCAGCTGCTGGCGTGGTCAGGAGGATCCACCTCTGGCCCCCCCGGGGCAGCCGTGCCGGGCACGGACTTCCTCCCACCCCATCGCTCCCTCTGCAGGAGACGCACCCCGCAGCCTCCCAGGCTTCCTTGTGGCCCGCTGCGGGGACCCAGCCTCCTGGATCTACTCAGACCAGAAGTGTGACGGGACCAACCACTGCGGTGACTGCTCGGACGAGCTGAGCCCAGGTGGGGCTCTGGGCAGAGGCTGGCCTGGGGCAGGGCGCTAGAGCATAGAGGCTGACCGGGCGTCTCGGGGGTCCTAGGGACGGGGTGCTCACTACCACCCCCGTGGCTCCTTCTGGAGGTTCGTGGTGGGGACGCCACGGCGAGGGGAGGGCACGGAGGAGGACCCTGGGCCTTGAACCTGAGTTCCCTCATCTCCTCTGCCCCTCCCCACAGCTCTGGGGGGAAAGCAGGCAATCAAGCCCCGGCCCCAGCTCACATGCTGGCCAACAGAAGCTCCCAGGGGAAAAGGCACTTGCTACACTGAGGGAAGGGCAGGGGCGGCCACAGGCACAGACCACTTAGTTTGCTCTAAGTTCGATCAACAAACACATCCTGAGCACTGCCGGAGCTGGGGCTGACACCAGAATTCAGGCACATTCCTACTCCCAGGACCCCATCTTACACTAAAAGGAAGTGCCAGAGCCCAGGAGGAATCAAGGGAGACTTCTTGGAGGAGGCAGCATTCAGCAGGCCTTAGAAAAGAGGCAGGGCCCCAAGCGGCCGAGGCTGGGTAGGCGAGGACTGGGGGGGCCCAGGGCGCAAGGTAACGGAGAGAAGTCTGAGAGGCGCCTCAGTGAGTCCTAGTGGGTTGGTGTGGCTGGAGCTGGGGGTGGACGGGAGAAAGCACAGGGCAGGCGATGTGCACCTGTTAAACTGTGAGTCCTGCCTGCCTGCCTTGGCTGTCTAACAACCGGAGCCAAGGAGGAGACCGAGGCTCAGCCGGGTCGAGCAAGGTCACCGCGGCAGGATCAGGATTACAGTCAGCTTGTGTCACGTGGGCCGGGGTCTCGGGAGCTGTGGCGGGGTTCCGGGCTAGGGAGGGCCCTGGGACACAGGGCCCAGGACCCAGCAGCTGTTCTCTCCCCAGTGAGTGCGTGCCCGCCCTGCGGCCCTGGCTGGTGGCGCTGCCCGCCCACCGTCTTCAAGTACTGCAGCTGTATCCCGAGGAGCCTGTGCCGGGACCACGTGCAGCACTGCTCCGACTGGTCAGACGAGTACTCCTGTCCCGGCCTCTAGCCTCCACGCAGGCCGAGGACCAGCGATGGAGTGGCGCCGACAACCCTGCTGGTGACCGTGAGCAAGGGAGGAGGAAGGAGCCTTCTGCACCTTACCTGTAGTGGGATCTACACACCGACTGAACAGTGATCGCCTCTTGCACACCTCCAGTGACAGGGAGCTCACTACCATGCCAGACAGCTTCTCACAAAGATGGGGGCAATCTGCCTGTCCCTGGGGACCGAGGGCGAATCCTGCTCCTCCGCTCTGAGACAGACTTGTAGCTCCCGAGCTGGGCCCCCTGAGGGAGAGCTCTGGGTCCTGGATGCAGCCCCGTGGGGCCACCTCATGCCCATCTGGCACCTGTGGCAGGTGTTACTGGACTTGCACGCAACCTTAGCATTTCTCTCCACTGAGCTACCCTCGCAGGGCACCCAGTGCTCGCAGACAGGCCCTGTGGTCCCACCCTGGGAAGCCGCACCCGGGGGCTCCACGCTGTGTGATAAGAGACTGGGAGGCACAGCCACCAAGGGGCCCCTCCCCACGCCCCGGCCACGCCCCCAGCCCCGCCCTGGCCCCCCACCCCACCCCACCCCAGGCGCCCAGCTCTCCTTACATCAGGGGCTACATTCGGTCCTGGAGTCCGAGTGAGCTGCTTCTCTGCATGCCTTCGCAGCACCCAGGCAGGCAGGATGGACATCCCCACTAGCCAGATGGCAAAACTGAGGCCTGGAGCAAGGGAGATGACGGCCCGGGACCATTCATAGAGTCAGGGCTGGCAATGGGACGCCAGCACAGGCTGTGGCAGCCCCGCCCAGGGGCCCTACCGGCCACCAGTGACTATACACTGGCAGGTGCGGTCAGGGATTTTAAAAGGTCGCCTCAGCAAGTGTCCCTCCCTTAGTCTGAAAGAGGCCCCGGGGATCCGGCCAGTGGGAGGGTTCCCGGCGAGGGAGACAGACGTGCCCCACCCCCGGAAATCAATAGAACTGATGCTGTGTATCAGACTTCCTGTGAGTGTTTCCAATCCTTCTCCTCTTGTTATCATTATTTTTAACTTTATCTGAAAGACAAAGACAGTTTTCTTCTATCTGCTGGTTCACTCCCCAGAGAGCCGAACCAGCCAGGGCAGGGTCAGGCTGAAGCCAGAAGCCTGCCACCACCGGCTGCCTCCCTAGGCGCCCATTAGCAGGAAACTGGAATCGGGAGCAGAGGAGCCAGGACTCAAAGCACACCAGGCCCTCCAACGCCACCACTGAGCCAGACACCTGCCCCTCGTGTGAGATCTACAGAGAAAAGGGGCGTCCCGGAGCCCGGCGCTTTGGTCCCTTCACTGCCTCGCTCATCCGTTCCTTCACGGCCTCCGCACACTGTGCAGGGCCAAGCCGCGGGCCAGTGCCGGCCCCCAGGGAAGAGGCTCCTAAGGAGGTGGCACCTTGCACCGTGGAGGGGCGAGTGGGACAGCAGGAAATACTGGGCGCAGGGCAGCAAGGAGTGAACCTTACAGAGCCAGGACAAGTGCATTTCTGGCCCCCTCCAGCCGGGGACCTGCTCCCGGAACAGGGCCCCCTCGGACCCTGCCTGAGGCATGGGCAGCTCCAGGCTCTGCAAGGGCAGTGCAAGCCGCAGGAGTCCTCTGGTGTCCCTTGTTCTGATGACCCGGCTGGAGCCTTCCCTCCCCAGGAGGGAGGGAAGCTGGGGGGTTGGGAGGCTCTCCGGGGTAGCGGTGGGGGAGGAGGGCATCACTGCTAGGCAACCGGGCCCCCGTGGCCAGAGCATAGGGTGGCAGGGAGGGGACAGGCAGTGACGAGGTGAGAGAAGAGAGCAGGGCCCGGCTCCCAGAGAGCACAGCGTGCTGCTTCATCCCATGGGCAGTGGGCCACAGCGGTCTCAAACTACATCTCTGTGAAGTAGCCGCTGTTTCCAAAGAACACAACACACCTGTCGGGGAGAGGCGAGGCTGCTCGCCGAGGGCTGTGGAGCCAGGTGTGCCCCCTGTGAAATCTGGACTCTGGCCACGACAGCTCACCATTCTGTGCTATCTCCAGGGAGATCAGGGAAGGCTTCTAGGAGGAGGTGGTGCCTGAGCAGGGTCTTGAAGGATTGGGAATGGGCCAGGTGGGGAGCAGGGATAGGGCCTGCCAGGTTGAAGAGATGGACTGGTCAGTGCAGGGCAGGACAGGGGCGTGTGCGGGGGCTTCCCGGACGGTGCAGGGAGGGTGCCGGGAGTATGCAGAGAGCCTTGTGTTCTGGGCTGTGCAGAGGGCACGTGACTGGGGGGCCGCAGGGGCTGGCAGAGGTTTGCAGCAGGTGGGGTGCCACTAAGGCGTTTCTCCCCACACGTGATCCTTGCTGGCCAACCTGGAGGAAGCAGCAAAGCGCCAGGCAGAAGGAGGGCCAGGCGCAGCACTGGAGGCTACCCTGGGTGGTAAGGAGCCAACGCTCAGTGGCGTCTGGCCCGTGCCCAGCACTGCAAACCTTCCAGAAACTTCCTGCGGCTTTGCTCAGTGGTCTGCATCCTCTGCTCCTCTCGACCACCATTCTGGGAGCCTGGGCTGGGCCCTGCACTTTGCATAGGCACAGAGACACCAAGCAACCTTGCCTGAAATCACACAGCTTTTTAGAGGAAGAGCCAGGAGCTACACCTTGATAGGCGCAAATCCAGAGCCTGCCAAGCTCCTTCTGACGCTTCGCTATCCCAGCCGGGTGCCCCCCTCACCAGGAGGAGAGCTGGAGCCCAGGCCAGGGGGCCTCAGCCTGCAAACGGGAGGTGGTCGCGTGTTGGCCAAGGGACAGGCATTTGTTCTTCCCTTGCTGATTGGTTCTTCCTTTCAGAAGGGAGCAGGTGTCGGAGCCCGTGTCGTGGTGCAGTGGGTTAAGCCTCCACCTGCGATGCGGGCATCCCACGTAAGCACTGGTTCGAGTCCCGGCTGTTCTGCTTCCAATCCAGCTCCCTGCTGATGGCCCAAGTGCTTGGGCCCCTGTACTCACGTGGGAGACCCAGACGAAGCTCCTGGTTCTTGGTTTTGGCCTGATCCAGCCAGCCTTTGCAGCCATTTGGGGAGTGAACCAGCCACCTCCGGAAGGCGCGGAGCGAGGGGTGCTAGGGCAGCCAGTCAGGCCCCTCCCCTGGCTCATGTGGGCAGAGCCGCCTGCAGCAGGAACCAGCGTCAATATTTGCCATCTCTCAGCCTGCCTGGCCCCAGCTCGGAGATCAGTACTTTCAGTACAACAGGTTCCTGGCTGTGCAAACACGCGCGGATAGATTAATGGAATTTAAAGTGGCTCAGGCTCGGCCCTAGGGACCGGCCTGGAAATCTGCTCCGGTTTAGCTGTCTGCCGCCACTGTTTGCCGAAGACTCTCCCTGCAGCCTTACGCTCACAGAGGCGCAAGCCTTCGAGCCAGCCAGGAGCTCAGGGCCCCGCCAGGCTTTTGGCAAAAGAGGACCCCCTCTCCCCAGAGGGCGGAGGCCCCGGCGCAGAGTTCTGAGGGTCCCCAGCAACTCCTGGTCCTGGTGCGGGTCTGAGTCCTTTTGGAAACAATTATGTACATACATGATCATTATATATAATTATATATATTACATACAGTGAAATGCACAGATCTCAAGTACACAGTTCAGTGAGGGTTATTTAACAGCCTGGTTGAGGTATAATTGACACACAATAAGCCATAATGTTAAAGCGTACACTTTCTTTTTTTTTTTTTTAATTTATTTAATGAGCATAAATTTCCAAAGTACAGCTTATGGACCACAATAGCCTCCTCCCCGCCCCGTGTCTTCCCTCCCATCCACAACGCTCCCCTCTCCCACTCCCTCTCCCCTTCCCCTTCACATCACAATTAATTTTCAATTATCTTTATATACAGAAGATCAATTTAGCGTATGTTAAGTAAAGCATACACTTTCATGAATTGACATCTGCCTAGGAGGGGACAAAAAGTTCCTGGGAAATGGAACCACAGGTAAGCTTGCTCTGAGGAAACCCTCAGAGGTTTCCTTCGACTCCTTGGTAGTCCCTCCCTCACACCCCCTCCCCCCACCCAGCTGGGCGACCACTGATTCACTTTATCAGTACAGAAGAGTTTGCACTTTTCTAGAATGTTCCACCCATGGGATAATGCAGTTTCTACCCCTGTTCTATTAAGTTGGAGAGGCAGAGAGGAAGAGACAGATGGATAGAGAGCTTCCACCTACTGGTTCACTTCCCAGACGTCCACACCAGCCGAAGCTGGGCCAGGTTGAAGCCAGCAGCCAGGATCTCAGTCTGGTCTCCCGTGTAAGTAGAAGACACCCAACCTCTTTAGCCATCCCCTACGCCACTCGGGGTCTGTATCAGCAAGGGCTGAATGGAACTGGGACTCAACCCCAGGCGCCAAGGCACTCCCATATGCAATGTGGGTGTCTGTGGGTTTTTGTTCTGCTGCCAGGGAAGGCAGCAGAAGATGTGGGAGATTAGGATGGAGTTCTCGGTGCCTGGCTTTGGCCTGGCCTGGCCTGGCTATTGCAACCATTTGAGGAGTAAACCGTAGATGGAAGATCTTGGCCTCTCAAATAAATAAACAAATATTTTTAAAAAGAGAGCAGAAAGCTTTTAGTTTGATTAAGTACAATATATAAATTTTTAAAATAAATCATGCTTTTGGTGTTATAATTTTAAAAAAATCATTGCCTAGAGGCCTGTTTTGTAGCACAATGGATTAAGCCATTATCTGCAATGCAGGTATCCCATGTGGGCACCTGTTCGAGTCCTGGCTGCTCCACTTCTGATGCAGCTCCCTGCTAATGTGCCTGGGAAAGCAGCAGAAGATGGCCCAAGTGCTTGGGCCCCTGCCACCCACATGGAAGACCTGGATGAAACTCCTGTATCCTGGCTTTGCCCTGGTGTAACCCTTGCCAATGCAGCCATTTAGAAAGTGAATCAGCAGATGGAAGGTCTCTCCCCCTCTCCCTGTGACTCTGCCTTTCAAATAAATCTTTAGGAAAAAAAATAATTTTGACCTATTTCTTGTACCATATGCAAAAATTAACCCAAAATGTCTCCTAGATCTAATTATGTATAGCATAACATAACATATATAAAGATTTATATATTTATTTGGGAGGCAGAGTTACAGACAGAGAGAGGGAGAGACAGAGAGAGAGGTCTTCATCTGCTGGTTCACTCTCCAAATGGCTGCAATGGCTGGGGCTGGGCCAATCCGGAACAGGAGCCAGGAACTTCTTCCGGGTCTCCCATGTGGGTGCAGGGGCCCAAGCACTCGGGTCATCTTCCACTGCTTTCCCAGGAACATTAGCAGGGAGCTGGATCAGAAGTGGAGCAGCTAGGACTCAAACCAGTGCCCATATGGGATGCCGGCACTGCAGGCGTGGAGGCTTAACCTACTAGGCCACAGCACCAGTGCCCCTAGATCTAATTATAAAATCTAAAACTATAAACCTTCTAGAAGAACAAGTAGGATAAAAGCCCTGTGGCCTTGGGTTAGGGGCCCAAGCACTTGGGCCTTCCTCTGCTGGCTTCCCAGGTGCATTAGCTGTGCCGCAACGCTGGCCCCTGTTTTTACATGTACCCTCACAATGCCTTCTGCCTTTTGATTGGGATATTACGGTCATTTATGGTATTTAATGTGATCATGGATATGGTTTCAATGTGCTCACAGTTTGTTTTCTCTTTGTCCCATCTGTTCCTTGTTCCCTCTTCCCCGCCTTTACGTGACTCTGTCTGAGTTAAATACCATTTATCATTGCGTGTTACCCCCGTGTCGGCTCATAAACTAAAACTGCACTTCACTCTGGAGGTGCTCTGGGGTTTCTGCACAAACCTTCCACTTAGCCCTGGCCCCTCCCCCAGTGCTGTTAGCGCATTTCACTCCTGTGAGTGGGAGAAGATTCTAGAATCCTGCCCTTCCAACGCCCCCTTCCAGCCCTGTCCAACTGCTGTGACACTTTACAACCCACCGCTGACATTCAAGCAGCCGCTCGCCTTCAGAGATGTTCAGACAC